TGTCCGTGCAGTTGTGATATGAAATGAGGGCACGAGGTACCCGAAAAATATGATGATTTAATTATGGGCACGAGGTGCCGGGAAAATATAAAAAATGGGTTGAGACCCGTGTTTAAGAAAAATATGAAAATGGGCTGAGACCCGTATTTTTATGATTTTGAAATGAGGTGTCACATGGTAACTCTTTAATCGAAAGAATTATATTCAAAATATTTATTTGAAAGAATTTTTATTCAAGAAGAATTATATGAAAGAATTATATTTGAGAGATATTTATTCGACGAAAATATATTTGAAAAAGACTTTTATTCGTAAGAATTATATGTGAAAGATATTTAATTGAAAAACTTGATTTAACTGGGTGTATTTATATTTATTAATTGTTGAGCGATATTAAATGGTGATTTTATTGTCTTACTGTGCATATCATCGGTTGTTTTATGTTGCCCTTATCGTTATTTGTTTCATATTATTTTGTATACTATATTGCACAGGTTATTAGACTAGTGAGTGTCTTGACTGTACCTCGTCTCTACTCCATTGAGGTTAGTCTTGATACTTACTGGGTACCGACCGTGGTGTACTCATACTACACTTCTGCACATTTTTATGCAGAGCCAAGTATTGGAGATATCAGACTTGAGTAGAGTTAAAGCAGGATCGTAAGGAGTCAAGGTAGAGCTACTTGGCCGTCGCAGTCCCTTGGAGTCTTTTCATTTCATTGTACTGTTATTTAATAATCAAACAGTATTGTATATTCGGTCATCGTGATCATTCCATGTATTCAGTTAGAGTTCGTGACTCAGTACTACCAGTCTTGAGAGGTTGTATATTGTGATTATTTTCGCTGTTAGTTTAAAAAAAATAGCTTCAGAAAGGTAATTAAAATCGGCTTACCTAGTCTTAGAGATTAGGTGCCATCACGACGCCTGTGGTGGGATTTTGGGTCGTGACAGTATCTCGCACTATCGATCGGGCTCCCCTGCGAACGTTGTATTCGGGGTCGGTAGGCAGGTTTGCGTCGATGGTCACATGCGAGTTAGCATCGATCGAGTTCGCGACTGGAACTCCGTTAGGGTCGACAGGAGGCACCTCGTTGTTGTGCACTAAATTTGTTGTTCTCGCCATGGTGGCCAGACTCAGCATTAACGTTCAAATGAGCAGATTGAGAGTTCGACATTTTTAATTTGACCTGAAATTAAAATCTCTCAAAGAACAAGCGTAAAACAGAATGCGTTGTGAAAATTTGTATCAAATTACCACTATTATCCTTAGTCCCCGGTGGGCGCCAAATTGTTTACCCTAAAAACGGATAACAATTGAATTTATATGTAGTTTTAAGGATATGTGGATTAATTTAATACGAGTGATTAATGACGTTAGATTAAGCAAATGAAAGACGTAATAAATGGCCAAACTAATGATAAGAGTGATTCCGAGCTTGGTTGATGGCTCAATGAGGAACCTGCTCTCGATTCCAAGCTTGCACTTATGAAGAACTTAAGAACAAAAATAAGAACTTTGAATGACAAAGAGAATTGAAATAAATTACTTTGGTATGCGTGTTAAAATGTATCTCATGAATAATAAGCTTCCCCCTTTATATAGTAGGGGAGTTTTACCCTAAGTACCATTCTAAGAAAGGTAAAAATCTTTTGTTGCGCTAATCACTGAATTTCTGCCGAGATTTACGCTGTGATATCCGGTTGGGCACGGACATCTCGACCCTTTATTAGTCGTGTGCAGATGTTTGGCAATGCTCTCCGAAGTCTTGATCCTCGAACCGGACCCGGAGGATATGGCCCTGATACCCCCGAGGGCAGGTGTTTTGCCCGAGCCCCGATACAAGGGGCTTCTCACTCTGACTCCGATTCGTTACGGTCGCGTTCCTACTCCGTTTTTCTCACCAGAAAATCGGGATATTCAGTGGACTCGGTTTTACCTTTATACAACAAGCAACTTCGCGGAGCAAGTCCAAAAGTGTCTATTGGATCGAGTAGTAATTTTTTTTTTCTTTAGGTGGGGTGCGCTAGGCCCATGCTGTAGTGCAACGCATAGGCGACGCTCGAGAGCCCAGATAGCAAGCTACCTTAACGGACTCTCCCACATATCAAATAATAAACTGATAAGAACAAATACTATATTTGATCTTAGCCAAAGGCCGAGAAAGGTCGAGTAGTAGTTATAACTTGTATATTAGTATGTATTCTGTTGATTCGATAATTTGCCAACCCAACTCCAATATAAAAAAAATTTAAAATTCTCTGTCGTTTCCATTTAAAAGAACTTTAAATATTGTGGCGGCATATTCTGAGTTCTCTTTCACGTCCCAAATGTTTGAATAGGACTTCCTCGATCTACCTCATGAACTTGGTCAAGTCAAATTGCCAACCTAATATTCCAAGCAGTACGTGGCTATATATAGGTATATACTACTCCTAATTAATATGTGGCTCGCTTTCTAATTAGCTATTTTATAAGCAACTGTAATACAATCAAACACAATGGCTAGAGGAGGAAGTCGTCTCACTTCATCATCAGAATTGTTCATCATTTTTCTTCTACTTTGTAGTTCTTTACTTGTCAAGAATTACGAAGCTCGCTCTCTTCGTTCTGCTGCTGAGGCGGATAATAGGACATTGAATCAAGAGTTGCAGCTTGAAAGTGAACTACCTATGGAGGAAATCAACAACTCTGGTCCAAGTCCTGATGCAGGGCACTAGGCATTATAGTATATTCCAATACATTGTGGTGGGACTCAAATATTGTTACATACCCTTTAAAGGAGCCGGCGCAGTGAACTGTAATTGTTTTGGAAGATCTGGCCAAAGAAAGTGGATCCAAGATTTAAACTTTATGGGTTCAATCTTTGGGATTCTTACCACTGAACTTATATCCTTAAAGTTATGAGTTCATATTTATAATTTATTGCGATTTTAGTGATTTTTTGTATATAAATTTATACTTCATGTCGAAAGTTATGGGTTCAATTGAACCCGGTGTTATAGAGCGGCATACGCCCCTGGTTACATATGTAGTCATTTAGCTTACACGGTTCTTTGATTCTTTTGTTTATTCCTTTAATTTTAGATAGTCTTGTATCATTCCTTATGGAGTAAGAAATTATTTCTGCCATCCTTACTTTTCCCCCTCCTCAGGTGTCGAAGGTAACATGAGTACGTGATGTTAAATTTCTTAAAAGGGTGTTTGGAATATTATGCGGGAACTAGCCAGATATGAATATATATAGTTACAATTAATTAGTACATAATTTAGTTTGTTTGTCTTGCTGGTCAAGTAAATGATCATTATAGTTGAAGGATTACAATTACATGCACCAATTTTCGAAAAAACTACTGCTAACTTTTACTTGCAACAAGTTACAAGTTTTCATTTTTCCCTTTATGTCCATCTAAGGTTATTGACATTAAAGCTAGACGTTGATTGTAAAATAAAGGTATACATATTACTTTCGACAAAAGCTATACCCCAATATAAATACTTGCGGAAGAAAACTTTAGGCCAAATATGTAAGCGGCCCCTTAAAGTTGGTTTCAGTTTTCATTTTAATACTTTAACTATGATTAATATATATTGAACACTTTAACTTCAATAAAAATGTACCTATTGAACGCATATGCTGACATGACATAGTGTCTGTAATTACATGCTCTTTTGAGAGCGTGGAAAGAAAAAGCAAAGAAAATACTCCTTAATTTTAATTTTTTTCTCTTCTCTCCTTAATCTTATTTTTTTGCCACCATCATCTCTAGAACGACTCCACCATAACCACGGGCTTTGACACCAAATTTTATCCCTACCGGTCTATCACTGCCAAACCACCTAAACTCAGAAGCCTCTCCATTGCTGAGAATCTTACTCTACTGTAGTAATATTCCAATCTAAGTTTAATCAAAATTTTGAACTCTAACTTCGTGGGGTCAACCATAGACTATTACTGTCTATCTCGATTTTGAAATTTAGGGAATAAATTTGGAGTTCTAATTTTATTTGAGTTGGAATTTGTTGGCCGAAACTGTTTGATGCAAGAGAATTAATTTGAGGAGAAAATTTGACCTTCATTAAAGGAGTTTCGAGCTTGAATTAAAAAAAAAAGATCTAAAACTTTGACTAAAAATCAATTGGATGTTATAGATTCTTGTTGAAAATATTTTTAAAAATCTGAATCTAATTTTTGAGTGCATTTTAAGGTGGTTCGAATTGGGTTTTGGTTCAAATTTTTCGGAGCCTTCATTACGAGAAAGACGACTTGACTTCCTTGAATTCGTACCTATTTTTTTTGAATTTAATCACTGATTTATGTTCGAATTTACGAATATCTTTATTTCAATTGGTTGTTGTTTGCTCAGATTGGTGATTGTGTGTGGTTCTACTTGTTATTTGGAGAAAACGAAGAAGGGGTTCAACGATCAGCTAGGGAATTAGGCTGGTGAGGAATTGGGGACGATGGTAGGTAGGGTGGCG